AGTGAAATATATTTATGTTTGTGGTTGTAATGTGACAAAATATGGAAAAGTTCAAGGGGTATGAATACTTTTGCAAACCACTGTATACACATGTTCTTCAGTGCCTGGTACGCCTACTACTGGCCTACGGCTGCATCGCAGGCATCTCATATAGAAATTATATTTCCTAATGAATTCATAAAGGTTTTTCTATGTGTTGTCATAATGTTTTTGGCATGTACCTAAAACTATTTTAATCAGGACATCACAATAGATTATAAAAGTCAATACTGAAAAAGGAAAACCAAGAAAATGGTGTAGTGYTTTTAACATCAGTATCTAATAAATTCCTTCAGTGCCATGCTTTGATAAATGTTTCTCATAAAGAAAAGTTAATCTGACAGCCCTCCCCCTAAAAAAAACAAATAAATACAACAAAATAAAAAATATGATTCTTGTAAAAGTCAAGTCATCTTAAAASGCACGTTAGCCTTTGTTTGATTGACAATTCGGTTAAGTATGTTAAACATATTCCTCCTTGCACATGCTTCAGAGAGCAAATGATGATGGGAACCAAGTTGTGGAGCTGAGAGGCACTGAGATATTTTCCAGCTTTAGATCTCAACATGYCGCTCGCTGCAAGCAAACACTTTAAAGCTCAGTGCAATCAGAGAGCAGTGTGGCGATAACAGCAAAGCCCTCAGGGGAAACCTGCAATCAGAGCTTGCAGGTGGATGAAGGCGAAGGATGATCAAATATCGGCTTGAGTGAATCAGTCGGCGTATTTGACAGAAGAAAAGACAATCCTTGTGTGTTTGAGTGTTTTAGCCCGTTTTTTAACACTGCTCATTGTGTGTACTGAGTGTGTGTCTGTGTTTGAGGTGTAGATTTTGTCGCTGTGTGTATCTTGGAGTTCTTTCCTAAAACTATCGGAGTGAGATATGCTCACGTGATGTCTGCGGGTGTTTCACAAATACATCGCTGATAAATTTCACGTTTTCACACTTCCCCCTCCGACAACAGGAAAGATGAGTCTAAGGAGCCGATTGTTGAAGTGAGAACAGAGGAGGAAAACACTCCAAACCAAGGAGGAGGAAGTCCCACTGAGCCCAATGAGACCACTCCACTGACGGAGCCAGAGTGAGTTTGCCTTCCTCAATTTAAAAAAAAAAAAAGTTGGGGGTGGGCGGTATTTGCCATAGTTCAATTCTAGACCACAATCCGGTAACTATGTTATCTTCAGTTTAATGAAAATCTGTATATATCACAAATAAATCTGACTTTGCATCATAGCCTATCTAAACACCTGGAACTTGGCCTCAGTCTCTTTAAGGACCTCCTACCATTTCAGACACTCCCACTTCAGCACGTCTTCAGACAACGCTTCAGGGGATGGGTTCTCTGTAGGGAGGGAGCTAAGCTGCAGACTGAGCTTCAGGGAGGAGCTTTGTGTAAAAGGGCGGTGCTTTGTACCAACAAGCATTTAGGCAGTTCCACGTGGAGATTTAAGAATTTCTCAAACAAATGTACGAATGAGTCAAAGCAACACTTTGGGTATATTTTGATGAGGGAATAATATTTTAACATGATATAAAAAAATAAAATTCAGTTTTGCATGATACCCCTCCCCCACTTTAAACATGTTCAAAATACTCCACAATAGTCCTAAATATGTAGATTTATATAAAGATAAATAATAAGTAAACAGTAGTTCCAGATTTCTTCTAGGTAATTTTCAACTAGTGTCAAAGTGTCCATCTGCACGTTTGACCACAAAACCAATTTATGTGTACAGAAACTGCATTTTGACCCTATTTTTCATTCTTATTTGACCCAATAAATCCCCTTATTTTGACTAAAGTCATGTTTTTTTTCTTACCGCCTTCATTAAAGAGGTTTTGTTGTCATGCTGTTTGATAATTTGAAAACTTTTACAACGTGAGTGAGGGTCATTAATGACAATGAGCAGAGCAAGTACAACAACACCTACTGAGAGAGAAAAAAGCCATGAGAACGTCTAACAACATTTTAGGATCACATTATTTAAACCTCAAAGGTCATTGGGGGAGTTTTTCTCTTTAACGTATTTGTTTGGGGATTTATTTGTGCTAAATAAAACAGTAAGTCTTTAGTTTTTTTTTCATGTTCAGAAGCATCAGATTCTGTTCAGGTTAATATCATGCACCCAGAAAAAATAGATTTAAATGTCTTTTTATGYTTGTGTAAACATCTTAACACCGAAACGTTTTTATTTCTTATAGTTTGCTGTCAGATTATGTCGTTTCTCCCCCACCAATATTTTGTTGCTAACATTTTATTTACTTTCCACTGAAGCACAGCAGCACTTACTCTGTCTTGTTTTGATACCTGCACTCTGCCTTTGGCCTGTATTTTTCTTGGTTTTTATTTATTTATTGGCTTTTTGCCTCCTCTCCTATGTCCACTCCCAACAACCCCCTCTCCTCCCCTCTTCTTCCTCACTACTTCCTGCCAAACAGACCTGCTGCCGTAGAAACCCCGCACACTGTGGGAAACTTACTCCCCTCCACCGCTGCTAACTCGGCGCCTGAGAGTTTTAGCACGCCGAAGAGTAATCCTGCTAAAGAGAGCCCTTCAAATCCAGCTAAAGGTGGTCCTATCAAAGCTTCTCCCAAAAACAGCCCTACCACCCATTCTAGTACTCCTAAAGCTGACCCTGAACCGAACGTCGGGCCCCTGGTTGACCTTAGCGACGCTCCTAAAGTTGCCCCTTCCTCCACTCCAACACCTCCTGTGTTAGAACCAGTCAGTTTGCCCTCTGCTAACGCTGACAGGCCACAGAACCAGTGTGACTCAGGGAAAGACTCCAACAGCAGCCAGAGTAAGGACTTACAAGCACACGGCCCGCCCAAGGACCCTCCCAGTACCCCGAGCTCAGACTCCACCACATCCGCCCAAAATGAGTATGAACACCTCTATTTTGTTTTCTTCGAATTATCACTTCTGTTTTGATTAGTTCATCCAGCTGCCATAAAAAAAGGCCAAGTTCACCCTTAAATGCAACAACTGTACCTTTGATTCCCACATGCAGTTTTACTCCCATCAGACATGCTGAGATTTTAAACAAGTTTAATGTTTCTTATTGCAAAGTATAAAATCAAACCTAAAATGTTATCCTGAACAGTACAGTTTGAAATTGTTCACTTTTGTAGTTTTACAGATATACAATTCGAAAACCCCATGAAAGCCTGAGACGTGCGATTGACCTAACAACCGCAAGAAGCCAAAATGTGCCTCTAAAGGAGCGCAACAGTTAAAGTGTCCGGGCATGTTCCTAGTCTCTGAAAAGTAAGCCATGGAAATACCTCAGACAAGAATAAATCTGATCCCAGAAAGTTTCAAACTTTCAACAACACGTACCAGTCTGATAACATTTCATCTGTGCCTTTAAAAACTGCTGAGCCACTGAGGATTTCTGAAATCTGTTTGGCTGCTGGCCCAGGTCACCGCAGGCAGAGATCCAAACGTCAGCATCACTGCCTGCAAAAGTCACCATCTACCTGAATTCATTACAGCTACGAACCGTGTGGCAGTTTAAAAATGGAGCACAGCTGGGATGGTGGACACGGCCCACTTCTCATGACTTTGTGAATATTCTTCCTTTTCACACAGCCAGTTTGAAAAACTGACCTATTTTTTATTGTGTAAAAATGCATTGTGGGAAACATGGGTCAGAACAAATTAAGCTGTTGAAATGAAATCAAAGACCCGATTGAAGATTTAGACCATTTAAAAGGGTGGAACTTCCTTGGATGCTGCCAGCTGCTGGCCATTCAGCTAAATGACCAGGATCATTTAGGGATAGCAGTGCATGCCCGTCATCCAGCATCGCCTCCATCCTCCACCTGTTTGTGCTCTCTCACCTTTCTGAGACTTCTCCTGTCAAACAAACTCTTTTATTTCCTGTCTGTGGTTTAGTAGTTCAGATGGTAAATAGACTGAACTTATACAGCTACAGTCATTCACTCATTCACACATTCTGATGATGATGATGATAAGCTATGTTGTTGTACATGGTAAGCTACATGTGCCTGGGGCACATTGACCCGGCACCGCTGGCCCCTCTGACCATCATCAGTAGGCAAGGCAACAATGAATGAGTTGGCTGGAATGGGAAATCAAACCGACAACCCTCTGGTTACAGGACAACTCCCCGAACCACTCCGCTAGTCGCACTGTTCAAACTCCAGCAACAGTTGGATAACCTGAAGTCATCTATTTATGCTTAGAAACATAACAAATTMAATTAAAATTTCTAACAATACTATTTAAAATTGGTAGAATAAAAAAACTGTGTTTTAATAATAAAACATTCAATATAATTATTTTAACAAGCTACTATTATAAGCCTTTTTTTCCCCCAACAAATTTCTAAATTTTAGTCAGGCTTAAGCAAAAACAACAATTCAAGGCCAGTATTTTTGCAAGAACTTTAAACACAATTCAAGTGATTTAACTAAAGTTTATTGATGTGCTGTTTAATTAAACACCACATCCTTATTTACTGAGTTAAAAAAGAGGCAATGCACATTCATTACTTTGAGATCTTTTCTTGTAATTATGACATATTATTCCATTATTGAATCACAAATTCTTTCCCCTTTTGTGAATGCAATGCTTTTTCATATTTTAAAGCTGCACAGTATAAAAAGGGACATTTTATCTAAGAACCAAGCAGAACTTTTTGGTGTTACAGGAGATTATCACATATTTATCTTCATGTTAGGTGCTAAAACTGTGAATATGAGAAAACAGTTATTAAAAAGGACCTTGAATGCAGCAAAAATTCACAACACCTTGGAAGAAATTAAGTATTTGGTAATAGCTGCTACTTCTAATAATAACATTTAAAAATAATAATTTCCACAATATCTTGTTCAGCGGTCCTTTTAAACAACCTAAAATAGACATCTGTGGCATTTTAACTGTAAAACCCAATCAGAAGAATCTCCATTCAGGCTCCTGTTTCTCTTGTGCAGAACTTGGGATTTTTGCTCAAGTCTTCAAGATTATTATTGAAAGTTTTTGAAGTTTGCAGATGCTCCTGGRTCCTGACAGCCTGTGAAGCTGATGAGAACTCTGTGGCTGAAAATGAATTACAGAGGCTTACTGACAGTCACTCCTCTTTCAGGGCCTCCTTCGGCTCATAATTTGCTCCCTCGGATGGTCCGAGGAAGATGTCGGTGATGAAGTGTTTAGAGCTAGTTGGATGCAGGGATCTTGTCAGCTCAGAATCAGTTTGATAAAACCCAACTTGTCATCGGAGGGATTTTTCTTCATAATTCTGACAGGACTGAAGCACGGCGCTCGCACTGATCTCTGCTTCTTTAGTGCTCAAACGCTGATGCGTCCTGTCAGACTTCCTTCTGGGTTTATTGGATTTCTGAGGAGCGTGGTTCCCCTCAGGTTTATTTATTTTTATTCAGAGGTATTAAAATCTGTAAACATATTTCCAGCTCATCACATAGACGGGCATGTAAAAGTTTTGGCACTTTTAATCAAAGTGTCTGCTCTCGGGTATCTTTTTTTTTTTCATCAAAACTGAACAAAAGGATTCAGTTATTTCCAAAAAAATGAACCATTTATATTTCATACCAGATTACTTTTTTATCTATCATCTTTTACTTTGACGGTAAAGCTAGATATAGAGCCAGTGTTGTATAAAGTATCTCAAGTACAAGTGTATTATAAAATTACTTTGGTAAAAGTTAAAGTCTCCTCTAAGAAAATTACTTGCGTAAAAGTTTTAAAGTATCTGATACTTTTTGTACTTAAGTATCAAAAGTAAATTTCTGACATAAAATGTATTTAAGTATTAAAAGTAAAAGTATGAGTGGTTAGATTTTGCATGCTGACATTTATTGGGAGGTGAACTCTCCAAAAAACATTTCTTCCAAAGGTGCGCCTCTATTATGGATTATGTATAGGGTGGGGTGGTATTGCTCATTTTCATATGGCGGTATGACCTTTAGAAAATACTGGGGTGTATGGAATTATTGCGGAGGGGGTGGCAGTGGTGTGTGGCATGTTGGGTAATTAATATTTAATGGAAAAAAAACATCTGCTTGTGAAACAGAGACAGGCGTTTAAASAAACRCAGCTGTTCTGACGTTGCTGTCACTCAGAGCAGCAGCAGGAGTCCCAGAATGAGTTCACCTCTTATTATGTCCAACAGATTAAACAAGTTAAACTAGGTCTTATCATGCACACTATTGTGATTCGTTTCCCATCCAAGTCATCTCCACTTGGCACGCTTCTCCTCCTGCATACTTTGTCCTAGAGCTGCCATTGTAATTTATATCTGTAAAGCCCCTGTGCCAAATGATGGCTATGCCTTTTGGTGCCTGTACAACTTATAGTTTTTGAAATATTAATGTTTAATAATTTATAATGAGAGTCAATGGAGCCTTGTATTGGTCCAATGCTGCCCCCTGCTGTATCTACTCAGTACTGAACCATAGTTTAATAATATTTAATCTCAATAGTTCAGTGGTTACAATACTAATATGATTGTATTTTGATGTTTTACTATAATATTGTCCTAATATTGCTCTATTACTGTAATATATTGCAGTTTAGTGTCAACAATTGCATTGGCAATATGGCCTCTTTCTGCACACATCCAAACCAAACCCTGGCAGTGCCCTCTGCCACAGCCCCAATGGTCTCATTGTTAACTCTATGGGCTTTCATGTGGGAGTTCAGGGTTCAAAAACCAGTTACAGCAACTTTAACAAAAAACTCCACAAACTTCATATTGTCACACAATTATCCTCATTACAAACACCGGCTGACTTGACAGGTACAAGTTGATAGAAAACACATTTGAACTTGGTCACATTTCATTCTGCAAGTCCACTGCTGCAGGCATTGCCATGCTGCATGGCAATGCACACTTGTTTTTACATCATAAAAACCCATGTCTAGTTAGAGTTTTAACTTTCAAAATAAACTGACTCTTACCGTGGTCATTTCAAAGCTGCTGCATGCTTTTAGCAAGACAAGTCTTTGTGCCGATAAAGTTCATTTCCCCGTCTGCAGTGCGAGCTCACGAGCCGGTCACAGGTCGACAAAAAAATTCATAAAAATCTGAGAAAGTTTAAAAATGAAAGGAGTCTGTCTTTGCTTGAATTCAGACACCTGCAGCTGGTTGGTCCGTGGAGCTGTCTGTCAGCGCTTCAGCCAGCGAGGAGTAACGTGTCCATCTCACGAGGTTTTTTTTTTTTTTGGTTTTGGTTTTTTACCCCGCTCAGAGGCAAGAGAGATGGGGTGTCTCTGCTCACCCCTTCCCTTCTGTTTGTTTATCTGAGTGAGCTGAGGTGATCAGATCACGTGTCTGAAATGTTTGTCCCAGCTTTCATATGTGCTTCACCTCACCTGACATTTTTTTATACCGTTGTCATATTTTGGTACTGCGGTATGACAAAATACCTTCATACCGCCCAAGCCTAGTGTTAAAATCATATATATTTATACTTTATACAATTCAATTCACTCTATCCAGGAGGCACAATTTATCAGGTACAGATAATTGTGTGAAATAGTAAGGAGTAGGAGTAAAAAGTAGGCTGAAGAATAATTACTCAAGCAAAGTACAGATAAACAAAATTTCTAATTAAGTACAGTAACAACATATTTGCACTTAGTGATGTAGAAGTAAAACCACAAACCAAAAAGCATCGAAGTCCTCGGGACATAAAGTCTCCACAGAGCTGTTTTTTTTTTTTTAAAGCATCAGCCAACACCTCTGATAAGTGGATATATTTAGAATCCAGGGGCAGGCCTTGGCCTAAATTTAGCAGTACACAGAGTTTTGTCAGCAAGACAGAGGAGTTTAAAAATAAGAGCAGCTTTGGGAGCCGATGGAGAGCAGGAGGAGATGAGACATAAGAAACACCACCACTAAAATATGGAGGAAGTCCAGAAAACTGAAGTGATACATGGCTTTAAAGTCTCTCCCCATTGTGTCGGAGCTCAGCTGAGTCCAGATGGCATGTAATCCTTTTGTGTATTGTAGGCCCGTGTTGGAGGTTTCGCCTCAGCCTCTAATTCTCCTCGTACATTGTGCCTACTGTACCGGCCCTGTGTCATTTCACATCAGCATTCATTGTTCCTGGAAAGTAGCTGTGACATCCATGTGCTCTTATTTGATGTCTGGCTAGGATAGTGAGCTTGATCCCAYTATGTGTGAAATGCATTCAGTTCCAGGAGCGAAAACAATTTCCATCAGAGATTCCTGCATGTTTTCTTTTCTCCATTCTTACCACCTTCCGTCTTTGAGAAGATGACACAAAAGGCAGCTCAGTCGAGCTGTGAAAGAGAGACTTATTGATGCTAACAGAATCTCCTTTGTTTTATCTTTCCCTTTTTTTGCTTGTAGCGATAAGACTGTGAAGGACGATAAGACTAAAAGCGAGACGGAGGTGAAGAACACGACGGCCGAGGTGAAGACAGTTCCCAACGAGGCTCCTCAGGCAAACGGCAACGAGAGTAAAGTGTAATCCCCTCGTCCCGAAAGCAGTGAGAAGTGGGAGGCGGCAGTTAGGATTGGGGAGGGGTTTGGGTGTGGGCATTTACAGGTTAAAATAAAAGAAAAAAATGGGGGGTGGTCACAGTCACTGAAATCTCAAACCATTTTTTTACGTTAGAGAAGCATCTGAAGAAAAAAAAAAAAAGATTATCGGTCACTTTTCAGGATTACGCCCCTCAGACGTCCTGCCCTCTAGATTCTTTAACCAAAATCAGTAAAACTGCTCTTCTCCCATACATCAAATAATTCACTCTGTTTTGATAAAAGGTCAGATCCAAACCTGTAGCAGCTTTTTTCTAGATCAACTTGKTTGAAAAGTAGCTTTACTTCACAGATTTAATGCCTTCCTGATGCACAGAAATGTCAAACGTTACCAATACTCCCATTCGTTATGCAGTATGGYCTCCATTGTGGTAATGATTTTTATTTTGTTTTCCTTTTGTTCTTTTGTTTTGTTTAATGAATGTTCACTCTGCCTGTTTAGCTATTAGCCTGTCAGTTGCTGCAAAGTTGTTGTATTTCTGTATATTTCTTAGTCTCCTCATTTCCATCACTGTTTTTTATATTTCTTTTCTCCTAATGATTTCAGTTCTAAAAATGGAGAAAAGCGGACAAAAAAGGAAAATAATACAAACTCGTTTTGTCCTTTTGAGAATCAATATGCATAATAAAAACAAAATAAAGTGGCGTGGCCTACATTTAGATAAAACTAAACRCAAGAAGAAAAAGAAAACACTTGGAATGTGGGAACATTTCATTAGAAATATAACTTTTTTATTGTTCATGAAGATGATGGTTTGGATGCTGACATTTTATTTATTTGCTCTGGCATGTTTGATGTAGGAGAATAAATGCATTTTAGATTTAAAACGAMGCCACGCAGAGCATCACGTTTTATTCCTTTTCAGAAACTCCACCTCTTTAAGGCTGAAGACGTTACAGTTTAACATTAGTTGAAATGATTTTACTTTCAGTCGACATCAACCTGAATCAGATGTGACCAAATACAACGAGTCATTAATATGTTACATTAACTGGACCAATGAGAAACAGTGTGACAGGTTGTAAATAATAGAAATCTTTACTTAAAGTCTACCGTTTATTCTYGTTAGTAATTTAAGTGGATTAAATGAAGGTAATATTCTTCACTGTTTGCAGTTTTCCACTTTAAGACTTCACAACCCCCAGTTATGTCCCCAGTTGTAGCCTCAGGATTTAGTTATCAACATGCAGGCCTTTAGGATCATTTCCTTTTAGGTAAAAACAGCTCTTGTGGTTTTGAAATGRCACAATTTAGATGTTTTGGACCAGGGCTTTAAAGTAAAATAAGAGGTTGTGTGAAGGATTTCTCTGAAATGTCGGTATGCTTGCTGGGATAAAATAGTCTGTTTTAGAAATTTGAAATTACCAAACATAGACAGGCCTTGTTTTATGATAAATGACACAAAATAAATTAGGTACAATTACYCCACACATGGTAGTAATAAGTGCTGCGACAAATGATGGAGTTTTTCAGGATCTCCTGATGCATCTCAGTAATCCAGGTAAAAAATCAAAAGGAAAAAAAATGTATAGGTCTTCTGGACGGGTTCTTCTCTAATGAAACGTTTCGTCTCTCCTCCAAGAGACTTCTTCAGTCTGAGAGTTTCAGGCAAAATTCAGGCTTTTAAGCCCTGCCTCCATGTGACTGATACTCACATCACATGGCTATCGCTGACACCTAATTAACACCTATTGTTAAAAGGGTGTGGAGTGATACTGGCAATAGCCGCACTGTAGGAGGGGAACAACTGAAAACGGAGGCCTCCACCTCTGTTTAATGATGGACGGTCTTTCTTCACAAAAATGKCTTCTTTTACTCCTCTCTCAAACCAACGTTCCTCTCTRTCAAGAATGAGAACATCCTCATCTCTGAAAGAGTGACCGCTGGCCTGTAAATGAGTGAAAACTGCAGAGTTCTGGCCATTAGATGTAGCTCGTCTGTGTTGGGACATTCTTTTGAACAGTGGCTGCTTTGTTTCCCCGATGTATAACTGGTCGCAGTCCTCCTGGCACTTAACAGCATATACAAYATTGCTCTGTTCGTGCCGGGGCACTGGATCTTTGGGGTGAACCAGCCTTTGCCGTAATGTGTTTTGGGGTTTGAAAGCTACTGGGACATCATGTTTAGAAACTAAACGTCTCAGTTTCTCCGAAACACCCGCAACATACGGAATAACCACTGGTTTGGGTCTGGGTTTGGGGTCTTCATTTTCACCTAAGGTTGCATGGAATCCTGTCTGTGTTTCCTGTCTGCTTTCAGGAAAGCCCAGTCAGGATAACCACACTGCTCCAGGGCYTGTCGTGTGTGTGATTTCTCTTTCTGCCTGGCTCCTGGGTTTGTAGGGACACTGTCTGCTCTGTGGTACAGAGTCCTGATCACTCYTAACTTGTGTTYCAGTGGGTGGTGGGAGTCAAAACGCAAWTATTGGTCTGTGTGGGTGGGCTTACGATACACGCCAGTTTCCAACTGTCCTCCATCCGAAACCGAGACATCGCAATCCAGGAACGCCAACCTGCCATTTTTTTACATCCTCTTGTGTGAACTTACTATATTCATCCACAGAGTTGATGTGATCAGTGAAATGTTGGACTTCCTGGGCTTTAATTTTAACCCAGGTTTCGTCAACATATCTGAACCAAAGGGATATCTGAAGAAGTCTCTTGGAGGAGAGACGAAATGTTTCATTAGAGAAGAACCCGTCCAGAAGACCTATACAATTTTTTTCTTTATTTTCAGGATCAGTTGGCTGAGGTACCACAGTTTTGTACGTCACCTTTACCCAGCCTTGTTCTGTGTACAACGTGCCTAACAGAGGCTTCCAGTTCATTTCTAAAATTTCATCTTCAATGTAGAGGTMTTATTTATAATAAATTGTCTAAAACGTTATAGCTTTATACCAGCAGCACCAACCAGGTCCCAGCACCCTTTAACACCCAGTTTCTATTAGCCTTATTAGACTTGTGATKTAAAACCTTTTAGATATTAGTCATTTGTGGTGGCTGTTTGGCTGAGAACAAGCAAAAAAATATGTTCAAATTTTGGTTAAGCTTTGTGAGATTTYCTTTAAAAAGTCTCAAACTATCACAGATCCCTTAAGGAGTCCTGTGGAAATCCAGCAGCTCGTGCTGCCTCAGAGTAAAGAAATGAATGCAATCTCTTCAACGAGCAAATGTTTGGCTTTTATATTAGGAATAAATCTGTCCTTGGAAGTTTTGCTTGTCTGTAAAAAAAAATGTTGTGTATTTAAAAGATAAAAGTAAGTGTAAATCCAACCACTTGTTTTGTACATCCTTTCTACTTTAGACTGCGAGCTAACTGTGAAGTGCAAATCCATCAGGTCTTTAGGCATAGAGTCGAGTGGATAGGTTTGTAGTGAGACGTAGCTGTAGTGTGCAACAAAACTTGCAAAAGCAACACTCAGAARTCTGAAAACTAGAGCAATTCAGTGCCTTTGATTAGCAAAGTAGTATYGTGCATCCTGTTGATCTGCAGCAGGTTACACACTCCTGCTTTTATGCTTGTTTGACTCTTTTTGTTTTACTTCTTTCCACAAATGTAAACCAAGCCCGCCTTTGTTTAAGACCATTCCGACTAAAAACAAACTGGGTTTTATAAAGATTTGTTCAGCAGGTACACATCTTCTTTCCCTGTAATGTTTTCTTTTAGGTAAACTAACTGATGCACTTCTGAAAGTCTTAAAAAGAATAATTTGAACATTCCCTCTCTTCAACAAAACAAAGATGCAGTAGCAAACCAAAAACATCCAGTTTGAATCCATCAACACGCCATCCCCCCACATTCCCCCAATAAAAATAATCTGAAATATTAAGATTAGTCAGAAACAAGTATGTAAAATAAAGGATGGCAGTGTTTGCAAAAGGTGCAAAGAAACTCCAAAGGTTTTGTCCCTGAACGTACTGTTAGAAGAAGACAGTTCTGAGATGACAGACTGCTGAAATGACTGATTGTTTAAAAAAATGATGCAACAAAAAATATGAGATCTTTGTTTTTTTATTCTGCTTAAACATTGAAAAAGCTCGGGAATTGTGATTTGCTGTTTGTTTTGTGCAGGTCATTGTTAAAAGGTTTCATCCGTCACAATTTGAGAATTTAATTTTTAAAAGATCATTTGTTTGACACCTCATAAAAAAAGCTCCATTTAAAACCAGTATTTGTTTCTGTTTTCTAATCCAGTTTGAATTAAGACAGTTTTCCTTTTTCAGGCTATGAAACTTGATTGAAAAGAAATTTATATTTAAAATATTCTAAGGTTTTCTGATGTGTAGCATGTGTCTTCACCTCGCAGCCTTGAGTGTCCACTGCCAGCAGCTGGTCACTGCCACTTGTGCAGAACTGTCTTATTCTTCAGCCGTGTTCTCTCTGTGAACGTCTGCTGTCATCCTGCACGTTCAACATTAGTGCTTTTTGTTTCTCKTTGTCTCTGTGTTCCTGGTGTAAATACTAAATACTAAGCAAGGAAGGAAAACACACTTTGACTTTGCATTCTGTCAGAAATGTTTGTGTTCAATAAAGATTAGGAAAAAAACCAAAGATTGTGAAATGTTTTTTATGAAGTGGAAAACACAAATTATCATCATGTTTTCTTTAYATATGTACACACACACACACATACACTTGTTTCTGTTTACATCTGTTAGTCAGGACCAATGGTCCGCAGAGACTGAGGTTACTTTAGGGAGTACAGTATACCCTCTGCAGTAAGTGTGCTGTTCCCTGGAGGGTATCCTGTCAGTAAATTTATCCAGTTCTTTCTGAGTCCTAGAACGTCTACAATGACTGGTCCTGTCTTCAAGTTCCACATCCTGCTAAATTCACTTCCCAGATCCTTATATTTTGAGAGTCTTTGTCCTTTTCACAGAGGTGTTTATTTTTATTATTATTATTATTATTATTATTATTATTATTATTATTATTATTATTATTATTATTATTATTATTATTATTATTAGGTTTACTATATTCTCATTAGTTTTTTTAGGATTTTTTACTTGCTTAAATAAAAGATGTTTCATTAACATGGAAAATAAAATGTTTAATAAAAAAACATCAATGTAATGCAATGAAATGCTTAAAAAAATCACCTAAATCAGAAAATGTTTAAATCTTTACACATACTCGTTTAAATGATGAAGAGATATAAATGTATTCCATATTTATTTTATATGCATCTTATATAAATAACAAATGTTAACTGTTAAATGCAGCCATATATTTATTTTGAGTAGTGGGAGCATCAATTAATGTATCTAAAAATGAATGAAAGCAGATGCTTGAGATGATGAAATAATGGTTATATGTATGTAAATCATTTTTATGATTTTATAAGTAGAGACATGAAATATTTTTAAATCAAACACAAAACAATTGTTAAACAAGCACTAAAGTACATTTACAAACTGGTTTGACTCGTCTTGAAGTCATGCATTTCTGCAGGTTGGCCACTAGAGGGCAGCAGATGTCCAGCCTTTATGACAACTGCATGTTCTTTGTTTTACTAGCACAAAATCTGGGAGTGTAATTGCAAGTATGAGAAATTCTTTTAAAACTGATAAAAAAAAAGGATTTCTGTAAAATAAATGCCAAGAAAACCTGAACTGTCTCCCTCAAACAGGCAGATGATGTAGAATTGTTTTATAGAAGCATCTCGTGTAGTTAGACGTGGCAAAAATTAGTTGGCTTTTGTGAAATTATTAAATTATCGCCCTTTTTTGGGTTTTTAACGTTTATTTTAAAATGGTACTCGCTGCAATCTATGAAATCAAACAAAATAGWTCTCTAGAACTGTGGGCCTGTTTGAAAACGTAGTTTT